TACAAATCCAATAATATAGTATATTTTTTGTTTCATACTCCCTCCATTCCTAAATATTTGTCTTTCTAGAGATTTCAACAAGTGACTACATACGGAGCAAAATGAGTGAATCTACACTCTGAACTATGTCTATATACATCCGTATGCATTTGTATATACCTCACACAACAACAGTTGAATTTGCAATCAAAACCCAAAAGTTTTTTAATAGCCCCTAAACAGTACGTCACAAGTGAACAGAAAGGAACTGAATATCAATACAGTAACACATCACGAATTATTAAAAAGTGTTGTTCCATAACAACCCACTGTCTAAATATGTGTTGGGTTCTGATTCCCAAGCCATAACATAAAATACTGCAAGCATAAAACAAGAGGCATGAAAAAAATACACAAGTTTCTATGAACATGAAACGGAAATCTTATGGCGGAAGAATGTAGGAAATGGAGTTACCGAGAGGCTCTTCATAAGAAGACATTCCACTTCGCTGGTTGAAAGCTTAGTCTGCTTGGCAATAACACTTAATGGGATAGTTCTATCTTCTGATGGCCGGCTAAAAAATGCAACACAAAAAAAATATTAGGAAAAAACACGACAGGAAATGGAGGTGATATTGGAAAGTAATAGCCCAAAAATGGTACCTGAAGATTATCTCCATCAGACACAGAATATTGATCTTCTCAAGCAGTTTCTGTTCATTCTGCACCAATGCAGGCTGTGCACTAAGAGCAGCATTGTGAACCCCACAAAGCTCTTGGTAGAGAGCTAGGTTGCCGGTGTTGAACGCTTGTAACATGTGATAGACCCACTCCACCTTGGTCCCAATAAGACTATTGATCTATAAGGTACAAACAAGAGTAATTTCACTACTTCAGGAATGAGAAGTTTCAAATAGGCTTAACTCAAATCCAGAAGGAACGACGTTCATGTGCTACTAGTCAGCTTGTCTTAAACAGATATTAGTAGTAATATCACTACTTCAGGAATGAGAAGTTTCAAATAGGTTTAACTCAAATCCAGAAGGAACGACGTTCATGTGCTACTAGTCAGCTTGTCTTAAACAGATATTAGTAGTAATATTAGTAGTAGTACACCCAAATTACTTGTCCGACTAAAAGGTAGTTTGCTATATTTATGTTAACCAAAAGAATCATCTGTGCTGACAACCATGGTCAATGAGTAAATATACTGCATGCCTTTGTATACAAAAGGCTTCATAACTATTCTGTCAAACTTCTGCATAGCTCAAATTTGATCACTCGCCTATAACTGCATACACCAACTAACATAGTTGCCAATGATAATTCAACAATTAATACTGCTATATTTGTGTTTGATACTGTGAAAGGCACCCTGTTTCAGTGGGTACTTCAAAATCCATCCCTTTTATACTTGCAGTGCAGAATTGAAAAGAAATTGTCATTTAGCAATCAGGACGATCAAGTATGTGGAAAGATACATGTAACAGCATCCAGAAGCAAGTGGAATAGATGACATACGCACTATGCAAAAAACAAACTACAAATGCGTCAATTCAGGGCTGGGAACAATAAAGTCGTGCACGAACAAGCAACACTTAATTTGACAAAAGGACAAGCAATACTTACAATAGGGTGAGCTAACAATTCCCCGAAGTTGTAGATGTTGTCCCCCAGCAAGGCTGCAAGGGAAAGGTCAAATGCCAAGTCCTGTTTCAAGACAATAGGTATCAAATATACATAGAAATAACATCCATGGCACATTTCAGGCTATATAAAATAAAGGACTGAATAAAACACATTCTTCTGCTGTACAATCGATGAAATTGTTAACTGCAAAACTTACCAGCTTGAATGACCCTGAGAGAGACCCTACGGTTGTGTAGGCCAGATAGAGAAGCGCGTTCTTATAGAACTCAGCAAACTCTTGGAGCGACTTATGGTACTGAGACGATATCCAGTAGAAGCTAGCGTGGACCGTAGGATCCACATCAGTCATGCCATCCAGGGTGGTCTTCCCTTCCTCCAGCAGGTTCTTGCACTCCTTGTGGTTCCCTTTGTCGAGGTGAATTGCCGCAATCTGCATCTTGACATGAAGGATAGGCTCATTGATCCGCAGCTCCCTGGTTTCAAGAAGCTTGGCGATTATCCCCTCGAGGAAGGCGATGGCGGCATCCTTGTCGGGATATTGGCGCGAGGCTATGACGGCAAACTGGGCAAGTTTGAGCAAATTGATCTTTGTTTCGAAATCGGAGATGAAGTTGTTGTAGAGCTGTATGAGCGTGTCGCCAGTCTGCAGAATAAACAGCAATTGCCGTGGAGACCAAATCAGACCAAAATAGCGCTCGAAATCGAATGGGAGCATGTGAGGCGCATGAGTTGCCGCATGCCAATTAACGGCGCATCTGGAGCCTGCATCTAAATCTAGGTTCTAGGTTCTAGGTTCTAGAGGGAAGGGGGGAGGAAGTGGAGATGATAGTGGAAGGGGGTAGGTACCTGTGCGGCCGGGATCTGGAGGAATTGGTCGAGCTTGAGGGTGAGCTGGTGCCAGAGCTTGCGCTGGTAGAGGTCGGCGAGGTCGGCGTACCAGTCGGCGAGGTCCGGCCGCGCCTGCCGCTGCGCCTCCACGTACTGCAGCGCCATGGACGACGGCGAGGGGGGGGACCTGAATCTGAAGAAGCCTTTTCCGTTAGGGTTTGGGGAGGGGGAGGGCGACAACCACCGCCAACTAGAACAAGAGCAATGCGGCGAGGCGAGGCGAGGAAGATGAAAGTAAAACCCTAGTTTTTTTTTTTTTGGACGATATAAACGAGAAGGGAAATTGGACTAAGCGGCAGCAGCAGCAGTACCTCACCGTGCGACGGATACTTGCCGTGGAACGGAAGGGACCCGGATGGAAATCAATCTACGGGTACGGGTGGAAGAAGCCGAGCCGGATGGAGGCGACGCCAACAAGAGAAGGAGGAGCGGAGACGTGTCCTCGCAGCCTATATTGCCCAGCCCCATGCCGCAATGCACAAGCAGTCCAGCCCAACGAGGGCACAAGCAGCCCGGCCCGATGTGCTCACAGCTATTAATAACTAAAATAATAACCCTAAAAATTTAAGTGTCCGTTTGTTTGGTCGAGATGACTAGTTAGAGCAAGTACAATGGGGTAACATAGATGGACTATAAGCCTTTAAATATTATATTTTGAATGAGTTGGAGGAGAGAAGAAAAGCGGACTACTGATTAACAACCGGCAGCAACACACACTCCTATGCATATTGTGAGAGAGTGAGGTGGGTCATGTATCGAAAAAGTAGTACATATTTATATACAACCATTGTTAATTGCCGGCTATAAACTTGCTTATGTAAAACCATATAGCCAGCAGTTGGTTGTATTATTAACCATGCTCTTAAGGGTCACCATTTGCAAAGTCATTCTTATTTTCCAGCGCTGACAAATGGCGCATTGCATGTGCGCCACTTATCGCAATATAAGAGTTTTTTTTCATAGATTCGTTTATTTAAAATGTTTCACCTCTGAATTTCTTCGCTGAATTTCTCGTGTCCAAATCTTTGAAACTATATCTCATTTTAATAGGTTTCGACGAACTTTTTTCATGAAAAAACTCAAAGAAGGAAGCATGGTCTTTATTTCATTTTTTTTCCAGAAGCACAACTTCTTGAAGAAGCAAATAGGCACATATTTGCAAGCATTGATTTGCTTCTCGTGGAGGCACATATTTGATTCCACGAAAAAAATGTGGAAATAAAGAACCGTGCTTTCGGCTCTGGATTTTTATGGTTTTTTCCGTGAAAAAGTGGAGGCACATATTTGCTTCCACGAAAAAAATTGTGGAAATAAAGAACCGTTCTTCTGGCTTCGGATTTTTTCTAGTTTTTCCGTGAGAAAAGTTCGTCCAAATCTACTATCATGGGGGTCTAGTTTTGAAGATATCAGTGTGCTTCTCGCGGGAGCAAATCTGTGCCTCCATGAGGAGCAAATATGTGCTTTTTGGTAGAAGCACAAATATATAATATTTTACAAAAAATAAAAAATTGCACAAGTTTTTTCCCTCCAAAACCTAGGAAAAATCAGGCAACCCCAAAAGACCATAAGAAGGGGATAAAACGCATCTAAAACCCGAAAAACGCGTACAGAAAAAATAAAAATAAAAAAATTCCAGAGAGAGCACCCAGTAGGCGACTTGTGGCGGCGGCTGAACGCACCACTTGCATGCTCTAAGAGTATCAAAAGTGACCCCTGAGGTCCCCCGCAAGGGGTAACTTCCAGTAAGTTGCTCTCTTGTTTGGTTGTCATATTAAGCTTGTCACACTTTACCATGCAAGTTTGGCTAAGGCAGTCTTGTTTGGTTTGCAGTCACATTTATGACAAGATTTCATTCATGCAAACTAGATCTCATATGTCATTGAATCAAAAAGTGTGTAAAATTATCTCAAGTGTGGCAAAACCACTTACCTTAGGCATGTGTGGTAGAAAATATGACAAATGATGGCAACCTTGGTATATGAACCAAACATGATGAGTTTCGAAAGCTACTTATGCTGGGTTAGATAAGCATAGGAGCAATTTTTACTGGAACGCTACTGGCAATAAAAAGAAGTATAGACTTTTCAAATGAAAAATCATGTGTCGGCCTAAAAACCTTGGCGGTTAGGCATTATCAACACCTTCATCATGAATTAATGTCTTATCATCACATGATGGTGGAAATACTGTCGGCGGAGCCGAGGCTTATGTGGTTTAACATTCTCAAAGCTAAATATTTCCCCATGGGTAGCCCCTTGTTTGCTTCTGCCACTTGGATTTCTCAGTTCTAGCGTCAACCAGCGAAAGTACGAGATCAATTTCGTTCTCAAGTCAAGTTTGGGGTCGATGATGGTACTTCTGTGTGGTTTTGGTTGGATTGGTGCATGTGGATGGGCCACTTTATGTTTCATTTCCTTCGTTGTTTTTCTACCGTGTTGTTCCTAACACTACAAAATTTGCTCTATTAGGTGACAAAAAAAACTGGTGATGAAACAGGAACCGGCGCCTAAAATCATTTTCTGTGATGGTCACCATCACTAGTTGATTTTGCCCCGTCATGGCTCTCTGCAGCAACTTTGGTGACGCTGAGAACCAATTTTAGGCGACATTTTTTGCCGTCACTGGGCAAGTGTGTTTTCTAGGACAATTTTTAGTGTCATAGAAAATTTTCACTGTCACCAATAATATTGAACAGATTATTGCAGGAAATATAAATAGAAAAAATGAGTCCCTGAGACTTTAACCCATGAGCTTTCGCTTCCGTAGACACTATACGAAGAGGTTTACCAATGGTGTGGTAAAAAAAGAGGTTTTGTGGTAAAAAAAGAGGTTTACGGCTGGACTAGTGTTTGATGGGTGATAATACTTTGTAGCTCAATTCTTCTATATATGTTTTTTAGAGGACTTCTACAGCATGTTCAATAGAAGTACATGTACATTTTGTTGAAATAATAAAATAAAATAATGTTTACGTTGAAAATATTTTATTTAAAAAGCTGACACCACATGTCATGTTTTAGTTTCAGACAAAAGAAAGAAAAAATAGGTGCTTTCCAAGGGATTTGAACACTTGTCATGGGCCTCATGTAGAGTTCGGATTATGACTAGGCTAGTATTTGATTAGTGATAATACTTTGTAGAGTCAAAAACCCTTTCTAAGCTGGTATAGGGACAGTTATTAGTGTTACCGAAATTATTGGAGCGACGCCTTCATGAGTTATTTCAAGAGATTATCAGGAAACAGACATGCATCAGTGTCTGTGCAGGCTACGTTCATGGGCGGTTCGGTTGCGTGTTTGCAGACGTCGTGGAGGCGTGTTTGTAGGCGGCCTAGACGCGTGTATGCGGTCGGCATTCAGGTGAGTGAGCAGACCGTGTCAGAGATTTTCACCGGAATATGTGCCTTTGACTGAGCGCCCCTACGGCCACCGTGGTAGTCTGTGCCTACTGAAGAAGTAAGATCAGACTGTGGCATCCTTTGACCGCCCTTCCGCCCGCCTATCCAACCACCTCTCCTTAGTGGCGGGCTCGCCTGCTGCGGGCTACAAGATAGCGGCCCTCCCTTCTCTCGCACCATTATCATCTCTAATCCAACATAATCCAGCACAAACACCTTGTCCATGGCGCACCTCATATTCTTCTATTTTGGCGTTGTTGAGGAGGAGCGGGAAGAGGACCCTCTGGCCTCTACACACAGGTCATACAATAAATTAAGACAACTCCTATGGCTCCTGCAGGTTGTCATACTCATCGACATGCAAGTCGTGATTCCTATTACAAGAACATGATCAATCTCATGCATCACATATATCATTCATCACATCCTTTTGGCCATATCACATCACATAACATACCCTGCAAAAACAAGTTAGACGTCCTCTAATTGTTGTTGCATGTTTTACGTGGCTGTTGTGGGTTTCTAGCAAGAACGTTTCTTACCTACGCAAACCACAACGGTGATAGCCAATTATTATTTACCCTTCATAAGGACCCTTTTCATCGAATCCGATCCGACTAAAATGGAAGAGACAGACACGCGCTAGCCACCTTATGAATCAAGTGCATGTCAGCCGGTGGAACCGGTCTCACTTAAGCGTACGTGTAAGGTTGGTCCGGGCCGCTTCATCCCACAATGCTGCCGAATCAAGATAAGACTAGTAAGGGTAAGCAAATTGAAAAAAATCATCGCCCACAACTACTTTGTGTTCTACTCGTGCATAGAATCTACGTATAGACCTAGCTCATGATGCCACTGTTGGGGAACGTAGCAATAATTCAAAAAAAATCCTACGTGTCCCCAAGATCAATCTAGGAAATGCTAGCAACGAGAGAGGGGGAGTGCATCTTCATACCCTTGAAGACCGCTAAGCGGAAGCGTTGCAGGAACACGGTTGGTGGAGTCGTACACGCAATGATTCAGATCACGGTCGATTCCGATCTAAGTGCCGAACAACGACGCCTCCGCGTTCAACACACGTACAACCCGGGGACGTCTCCTCCTTCTTGATCCAACAAGGGGAGAGGAGAAGTTGAGGGAGAACTCCGATATCACGACGGCGTAGTGGTGATGGAGCTCGTGGTTCTCCGGCAGAGCTTCGCCAAGCGCTACGGAGGAGGAAGAGGTGTTGGAGAGGAGGAGGGCTGCGCCAGGGGAAGGGTATGTCTGCCCTCCCACCCTCCACTATATATAGGAGCAAGGGAGAGGGGGCCGACCCCTAGATGCATCTAGAGGGGGCGGCCAAGGGGGAGGCTTGCCCCCCAAGCTAGGTGGGGCGCCCCCTCTAGGGTTTCCCCCAACCCTAGGCGCATGGGCCCTAGGGGGAGTTGGCGCCCAGCCCACCTAGGGGCTGGTTCCCCTCTATATTCAGCCATAGGGCCCTCCGGGGCAGGTGGACCCCCGGAACCCCTTCGGTGGTCCCGGTACAATACCGGTAACCCCCCGAACACTTCCGGCGACCGAATAAGGACTTACCATATATAAATCTTCATCTCCGGACCATTCCAAAACTCCTCGTTACGTCTAGGATCTCATTCGTGACTCCGAACAACCTTCGGTAACCACATACTATTTCCCATAATAACTCTAGCGTCACCGAACCTTAAGT